GGTTGCATTTTCAGTGACCAACTCTATGTTGTGGATTCCTCCTGCCTTTTTTCTGTTTCTCCATGTTGCCAGGTTTCAGCCTGTTAGTGCAATGATCTCTTCCTTGCTTGTCTTCCTTCCTACCTCTGAGCTCCTTGAAGTCAGTGATAGTGTTTTATTTCTTTTCATGCATTAAGTGCAGCAGAGAACTGTGAATGGAAAAGGAATCGAGATAGCTCCCAAAAGCCACAGTGAAAATGAAAACATGACCCTGGATCTTGGTTCCAGTGGGACTTCTTTATATGCAGTCTTCTACTCTAAACCTTGTTATAGTCTACTCTCTAGATAAATGAAGACCTGGACAGAAGTGGAAGAAGTAGAAAGACAAAGAAAGAAATGAAAGAGACCTCAACTACATTTTTAGTTTCTTGGTAAAAATTTGGATTTTTACCTTATTTCGAAGTTTTTGATATGCTTCTCCTAGGAATAAAAAAGACAAATTTATTTTGTTTATTGAACAAAATAGAAGCCTTGTTTTAATTTAAAGAGTTCTTAAAGAACATTGAGATCAATTACCTTATTTCATTGAAAAAATTTGGACCCCAAAAGGTGAAAGTGATGATCCAAATGATTTTTCCCATCAAGACCTAGACCTTGCTTGTCTCAAGAGGACTCCTTTCTCACCACTCTGGTCTACATTGTACTCTGTTACCTAGACAACTTATTGACATCCAATAAGACATAGAATTTAGAGTTAAATACTGTAGTTTTCTTACTATTTGGGCAAATGATGCAATGTCTCTGACTTTTATCCTGGAAATAGACATCAAAACTCCTTCTTTTAAATTTTCTTAGTGTCATAAAAATTCATTGTTCTCTATCAAGATTCATGCCACTGAAATTTTGCCACGCTATTTCCATCTGGAATATTTTCTATTTTAGTTTCCTAGGGCTGCTGTAACAATTTATTATAAGATGATGTACCTCAAAACAATAAAAGTTTATTTCTCACAGGACAGAAAACCAAAAATCTGAAATAAAATTGTCAGTAGTGTTGCTTCATTTTGGAGAATCCATTCCATGTCTCTCTCCTAAGGTCAGGTGGTTGCTGGTAATCCTTGGTGTCTCTTGGCTTGTAGACACATTGCTTCACTCTCTGCCTTTGACTTCATATGTTCTTTACCTCTGTGTTAAAGTCTGCATGTCTTCCCATTTTCTGTCTTTTATAACAATATTTACCTTATAACACTTGTTAAAGAGGTGATTAAGTTAAATGGAAGTCATTAGGTTGGGCCTGAATCCAGTATAACTGATGTACTTAGAAGAGGGAATTTGGACATAGACAGTTACAGGAGGAAGACTATGTGAAGACACAGAGAAAAGTTGACCATCTACAAATGAAAGAGTGAGCCCTTAGAGAAATCAACTCTACTGACCCCTTGATCTTGGATTTCCAGCCTCAGATACTGTGAGAAAATAAATTTCCGTTGTTTAAAACATACTTTTTTTGGTCATTATTGTGGTATTCCTAGCAAACCAATACACTACTCAAGAGGAAAAGCACTCACAAAGTGCTCAAAAAGAAGACATAGCAGGGATAGACAGTGGCACAGTGGGAGCAATGAGGCTGAACCACATCTGAAGGTCTGAACTAACATTTAGAGACCTCTCTGTATACCGTGGGCATGTGTGTGCCCATGATCGGGAACTCAAAGCTGGGAGTGGACTGTGGTGTCAATACCCTGTTGTTAGTATATGCTTGCTCATTAAATAAATAAAAAATCTTTAAAAAAAAATTGGCCAGCAGGTGGTGTGGAGGTTAGGCTCTGGACCCCACATGGCCAACTGGTAGCGTAAGAATCATGGCAGGCATGTGTGCATGCACGTCCAAAATGCCAAGAGTAGACTGACGGAGAAGAGATTGCAGCGTGGCTATCACCCCCAGGGGGCGATTTCTCACTTTCTCTATCTCTTCCTCTGTGTGTGTCTCTGGCAGGCACATGTGCAATATAGGAAAAACCGAAAAGCAAAAAAAACCCAACAAAAACAGTAAGACATTGAACTTGGAGTTAAATACAGTAATTTTCTTACTCTTTGGGCAAGAGATGGAACGTCTCTGAGTTTTACCTGGAAATGGAAATCAATTCTTTCAGACTTCCTTAGTGCCCTAAAAATTCTAGTACTATGCACATTCCTACTTATTTACTCCATAATCACACATCAGGCACCTACTCTGTGCCTATGCCTGTTTCAGGAATAGGAGGAAAGAGCATCGAGCATGTTAGACAGGGGTGTCACTTATGTCGCAATCACATTCTAATACATGGAAACAAACACAAGCAAAAGAGGAAAAAAAGAAACATTAAACTGTGGCAATGAAAATCAAGGAGTGATATGATAGGAAGTGACGGGGGAGCTTCTTGAGATTGGTGACACTTGAAAAATGTCATAATGACATTTCTGTTGAACACTGGTTGCAAATGTGATCCTCATTAGCAGCAATTAACAGCACCCTCAAACAAAACAGATTGTTTTTCTTTGAGCAAAGGGAGCAGTTGTTTTGTATCAGTTACACTGTGTCACTGCTATGTTAACTTTTCACAGTTACAGAGCAGTTTAACAGACACCATCTCATTAAATTTTATCGATAGCTTTGGGAAGTGTGGGTCAGATAACAACTCCAATTTTCTATGTGTGTCAATAGAAGATTACTAGGCTTAATCGTCACACTTACTAGTCATGATCCACCAGGGACAAAGCTGGGATCAAACCCAGGTGGTTTAAAAATTATTATTATTATTTTTATATTGCAAGATAGTGTAAATTCCATGTCAATGCTCTTCAGTAAGGGGGAAATATTTTGGAAAGGTTTCATGCAGTTTTTTGTTTGGTATGGATGTTCTTTGCACCTGTTTTGAGGTGTTAGTCAGAAAAACACTCAATTTTACTTAAAGAATAGCAATATCTCCCAAGTCAACACTCCATCTAGTCACCCACTAATCAGGAGCAGAGACAGATTAGAACCTCTATTTGTCAGACCCTGATTGCCAAGTTTGTCATAGGCTGCCTCTTTGCAGTGTTGACCTTGGGACTCAGGTTTAGATTTTCTTTACAACATCTCGAGCTTTATAACACATTTTCTTACCATAGTAATAGTGATTTGCTTCTAGCAGGACTCCAAGATGGCATTTAATAGATCCTCGTAGTTCCTGTTTTCACAACATTTATCATATGCATTATTAGGGCCTGTTGAGGTGCCCTTATTTCTAAGGAGACTATGAGCTTCTTGAAGGAGGAACCACAGGAGAGGTTTTCACTATAGAGTGCATGCACTTGCCAGAAAGATAGAGAGAGACAGAGGGACAGAAAGCAAGAAATCACCCCACCCCACCACCCTCCCGGGAGGATGGCCACACTGCAATCCCTTCTCCATTCTCCTCTTGGGATCTTGGGCATGTACGCACATGTGCCTGGTGTGAGTTTAAGCCATCAAGTCCGGGACTCAAACCATGGTGAGCACACAGCAGGCACTCAACCTCAGGACAAGGAGCATGCCCACGGTTTGAGGAAATCCAGCTACACATTAAGATAGAATGTGTCTATAATTACATGGTTCCAAATTAGGCTGTCAAAGAATCCATGGAAATCTGTGAGTTTCTTCTCCAGAGATTTCACAGGACACATAGAATTCTCTTTCCTTTTATTCTTCTTATTTTAAAAGGTTTTGCCATAGGGAGCATGAGCTCATTGGAGAGACAGAAGGAGACAGTGAGAGGGAAAGTGAGAAATCACTCCCCAGTGGGGTGGACACATCCCAATCCTTTCTCCATTCTCCTCCCAATATTTTGGGCACTCATGTATCTATGTCCTACTTGAGTTTCAAGCCCCCAGGACTGGGACTCCAAACATGGTACCATGTGGGAGTATAGCACCTTAACCACCATGCCTCCCACTGACCCCCATAGGGCTCTCTTTCTGTGTTGATTTAATTTTAGTTCTTACAAGAATGTAAGATTAGAATACATTGACTCAGAAGTCAAAGGACAAGGAAAGGGAGAAATCACGAAAAGCTGTTTTGTGCAGTAAATTCAACACTTCCTTTAACTAATGGATTATTTATTTTGTCCATGACATACCAGTTTGCTTTACTTTTCCTCATAGGAATCTTCTGGGTAGCTTACCAGAATCATAGGAATTCTCTGGGTAGCTTACCAGAACTTTGGAGAGGTTGAGAACTTTGGAGTTAAAATGTTCTCTTTCAGTTGAAATGTTTGTCTCAGCATCTTTGACAGGCAATTCTCCTGCATTATGTGTCTACTTTCAAGGAGGCCACCTGAATGATGGTTCTATGGCTTCCACACCTGGAAGAGCTTTCTGCAAGGAACAGCAGTCTTTATTCTTCAACTTTCCAGTTGCTCTTATCCTGAATAGTTCTTTCTTCCCGTGAAGTTCTTCTGAGATTGGAAGACAGGCATCATGACTACTCTTAATCTTCTCTTCCTTGGTCTACACTGTGCAGATACCACAGATATTCCTGTTATAGAGTACAACAAGAGAAAATAGAGTGAAGTTGGCATCTTGAGCCAGAATCCAAGAATTAGAATATTGATTTAACTATTTACTAGCTAGGTGAACTTTGGTAAATTAATTCTGCTCAATGTGCCTCTTGCTTTATTCTCATCCATAAAACAGAATTAGTAACAACAGATATATCCCAATATCATAAGGCTTTGAGAAGAGTACATACATATTATTAGAACAGTGTATTATAGTGGTAGGTTCAGAAAATGTTAGCTATTTTTAAGCTTTCATCTTCCAAAATTCTCTTGTTAAAAATTTACCTTTACTCTGACTCCTTTAAATACATGCATGGTCTTTGTCTTAATTTTCTAGAAAAAAATTCAGAAGTCCCAAGCCTCAAATAGAATTCAAGAGATAGCTTCATTCTCTTTATGAAGTAAAGCTGACTCTGGTCTATTCTTTTTGTTGAGTCATAAGTTACCTGAATAGACCTGGACAATCTTAGAATAAAGTCTGAGCACCTGTTGAAGTTGAAAGAAAAGTCAGTCTGTCTCCAAACATTTTGGAGAATAAGGTGAGCTATTCCTTTTAATTGGTTTGATAAACCTGTAAAAGAGAAATTATTTCACAGAACAAACAAAATAATCTCCCATTTTGTCTTTGTCTCCGTATCACTGCTCATATCACAAAGCAGAGGGCTTCCCCCAACGAACGACTTTCTTTTTTCTTTCCTACCTCCATTTTTACATTTTCCAAGCTTTCCTTCTTTGCCTATGTTTGACCCATGCTCTTTCTTGCCTCTCTGGAAATATAGCCTTTTTTTGGCAAGACCATTCTCTCCTCACTTTTCCCACTTAAGAACATCCGTAGTTCTAGTTCAACGACATTACCTGTCTCATTACCTATAGAGCCCTTCTTCGATATTCCCTATAAATAGGGTAACAATACAATTTATTATTAAAAATGGGACACTTTTGACCACAAAAGAACTATTGATAATTAAATCAGTATAACAGATAAACTGGAAACCTAACAGCGAGCTGGGATGGGTGGTTACCCTATCTATAGGAGATCTCCCAGCCTTCATTTGAACAACCTAAGAGTAGCGTTTTTAACTCAGACTTCAAAACTATCTTGTATAGTAGTTATTATCCCATCTGCAAATGAAGACATAGATAGGGGAGTGGAGGGAGGGAATAAAGAAAGGAAGGGAAGGAGAGAATAAGAAAGAGAGGAAGAGAGAGAAAGAAAAAAACAAAAATGGAGAGAATGAGAAAGAGAGAGAGGAGAAATGGTCAAGGTCACTCTTCTAGGCAGGTCACTTCCTTAAGGAAGTCTTAAACTCAGGTTGATTCTAAAATCTCATCCTTGCCCTTGCCTCATGTACCCATATAATGCATAGTCTTTCCTGGGTGTGTGTGTGTGTGTGTGTGTGTGTCTTGTGTCTTATCAAAGCAAACATTTAATATTAACAGTGAATTCAAAATATTTTTTATCCTCAGAAAAGATACCTTTCAAATATCTTTGCCCCACACTTCATTTATAAGACACTAGTTCTTTAGCATAGCTAAACCATTTCAACCTGCTTCAAAAACTAACTGCTGCCATTATGTATTTGAAACACATATTGATAAGATGTTGAACTTGGTTAATTAAGAAAAACCTCCCTGATTGCACAGATAATCTTATTACAGGCGCCAGAGACCAGATGCTGGTGGTTAAAACATAAGCTAATGAATTAAGAGCCGAAATGGTACTTGTGTAACACAAACCTGGTTTTCACTTCTGCCAAACTTTCTTTCTTTTTTTTTTTTTTTTTTGGAGAGGTTTTTGCTATAGGGCATGTGCACTTATCAGAAAGACAGAGAGAAACAGAGAGAAACAGAGAGACAAAAAGCGAGAAATCATCCCCCCTCCCAGGGGGGATGGCCATGCTGCAATCCCTTCTCCTCCATTCTCCTCTCGAGATCTTGGGCACGTGTGCACACGCGCCTGGCGTGAGTTTAAGCCACTGGATCTGGGACTCAAACCATGGTTGACTACATGGGAGTCCAGCAACATAGCCATTGCGCTAACTGATGGTCCCACTTCAGCCAACCTTTGAACACCACTTGAATCATTATTTTCATTGACATTGACATCATCATCATTTTTATTATTGCCATCATCGTGTTCTTCCCCTTGTTTTTTTTTTCTTTTTTGATACAATACAGGGTCTTTTATTTCAGTGTTGGGGAGGAAATATTTGGCAAGTTCCCAATGTTTGATTGATTGTTTAAACTATGTTCGTTTTTCAGTTTTCTGATGTTTTTATTTCATACTGGCAGATTTATTGAATGTTGTACAAAAGTAAGAAATGCTGATGTATTTGCAATTTTCATTAAAGGCTAAATAAACCTTTTTAGTAATGTTTTAAAATTTCATAACATTTGTCTTGGAGTTGTAACAAGGATATAACAGGTTTTGTAAAATTGTGTCTGGTAATAGCCTAGTAAAAGATAAAAAAATTATTTATTTAAGTTTTTCTATAGGACACGCGTCAGACAGACAGAGAGAGAGAGAGACAAAGAGAGGGAAAGTGAAAAATAACCCCTAGGGTGATTGGGATTTGGGGTATGCATGCACATGTACCTGGCATGATTTTCAAACTGCTAGGTTCCAGACTTAAACCATGGTCGACCATGTGGAAGTCCAGTACCTTAACCACCATGCCACCTGCTAGCACCCCCCCCAAAAAGAAATTTTATTATGATAAATGAGAAGAGTAGGTTCTAGTCTGTGTTTTGTGATGTCCATATTGTGATATCATTTCTTCCTGGGAAGTTTTGTCCTTATTTGGGAAAATTACAGAACATTATGATATTGGTACTTAAAAGCTATATTCCAAAGAGCACTAGGGGTTTTATGGGGCATGTTCATCAGGAGGAGGAAGGCTCCAATGGACCTTTGATCTGACCTCTTATTCATTAGTAAGAACTTATATGTATTGAATAGGAGTTCTATGTAAACTATCCTGGTGTGTATGTGTTCATATGCCTGTGGGTGTTGGTGAGAGATCTCAATAAAAATGTGGAAAAGAGAAATTTCACAGCTAAAGAAAAATAATAAAAAATTCCTGATTTTCTAAATTAGATAATTTCTAAGATTACATAATTCAAACACTTTATTTCATTTCATGAATATTCCATGTAAGTCTGCTACCTTTAAAAATTGGTAAAGAAGACATTTGATATAAAGTCATAAGTAAGACTGAAAATTAACTATACTTTATGATTCTAGGTAAACAGAATGATCTTGGCAAAATAGTAGTAAGCTCAGAATATGAATCAAGCCTTCCAATCTCTGTACAATTTAATTCAAAATTCCAAATTACCTATGAGAGAAAATCTGGTTGACTCAATGTGTGTCCCTCAATGAGATCTTCACTATTGTAGGCTGTATCGACAGTTCTGAAAAAAGGTTTAGCAAAGAAATCAACAGAGGTCTTGTTTTGTGAGGTAATTTCCTCCTCTGAAGGGTGAGTTGGACAGAAATGCAAGGAATTGAAAAATGATGCAAGGCACTGATGTCTTATCATTTATTGGCTGAGTTAGTGGAAGCATATAGAGCTCTTAGTAGGCTTGCAAAGCCCATAGCAGCACTCTTAAGCACTTCTTCCCTCTTGGAGCTCACAATGTGGGGAGCTAAGCTGAGCCAGGCAAAAGCTGAGCCAAGCCAAGGCCATCAAGGTTGAGTGAGTGGAACCAAGGCAGGGCAGAGCAGAGCAGGTGCTCCTTTTTTTTTTTTTTTAAGGGGGCTATAGACAATAGTGGCTCATTGCCAAAACAAAATTTTCACACACGTGCATGCACATTATATGTAATAGTGTAAAACAGCAAAGTTATAATTACATAACAAGTGCATAAGCATGGTACAACTAAAAACATAAGTTGTTTGACCTATGGCCTTCAAACATGGTAAGATAGGAGGTAAGGGAGTCAGATCAAATTATCTCGACATTACAGATCTAATGCAGAACAAGAACCCTATCTGAATCACACCAGGATTCAAAAGCTTGTCCATTAATTCAACACATAAAATCACTTGGCTAACATTTATTGGCTGAAAGCATGATTATGAAGATTAATCTGAGAGAACTCTGGGACTCTAACGCAAAACAGACCAGGAAATACCATACTTTCATAATTAGTTTCCAAACTGTGCATAGATCCTTTGAGCTTCACACCTGACACAAGTTCTTTTGTAGATGTGCTCTTCAAGAAGCAGAGTCTAAGATGAAGACTTAGCAGGCTGGGAATTTATGAGTGAGTTTTGAGGATCCACACCAGAGGGGAAGAGAAAGAAGGAGGATTGTGTTGAGAGAAATTGGGCAATGTTGCTGTCATGATAAGGCCTCAGCTGAACCTCTTCTCTGGAGCTGGAATGGCCTTCAGAGTTGTCTTGAGCTGTGTCTCAGGGCTAGATATGTATACTCCTATATAGACCAGTCACTGGATGCAGGCTGCCCCAGAAAAGGGTACTACCTTGAAAGAGGTTGCAGGGCAACCCTCTCCAGCAAAGGGCAATTCCTGAAGAAATCTGATAGCTTAGGCACTCAGCCAACAGCATATTCAGCAGTTGAGGAAAAGTCCTTTAGTGTTGAAAGGGGATCCAGGCAACACAGAAAAGTATCCAACTGACAAGATATCAGCAAGCTCACCTACCTGTGTCTCAGCCTCCCTGTGTAGTAAAAAGACAGCCTGCCGAGGTTTAAAGCAGGCTTGTGCTGTGAAGAATCAGTTGGAGCTTTGGTTGCAAGTACTAAAAGGTACTAAAAAAACTAAAGACGAACTGCAAATACTAATTGTGCTATGTCGTTTTAGGATGTGGGCCAGTCAAGAGGTTCTGGACCTGAGTAGAAAAGAAAAGATGGGATACAAAAATTTACAAAAAAGATCTATACTGAGATATATTTGATAGGGCTACTGTACCATCATAGGTGACTAAGACGGCAGAAATTTTTTGTCTCACGGGTCAGGAATCCAGAAGTCTGAAACCTGTGCATCAGTAGAGTTGGCTTATTCTGGAGGCCTGACCTGTTTCACGGTCCTGGCCTAGTTTCCTGACTACTGGTACTCCTTGCTATCTTTGCTGCAGATATATCTCTCGACCCTATGTCCAGTCTTACGTGGCTTTCTCCTGGGTGTGTTTCTGCATCTTCTCCTTTCCCATCTCTTATAAGAACATTGGTCATTGGATTAGAGCCCACCCTAATGACCTAATTTTAACTTGATTATATTTGCAAGGTCCTTTATTATTAGATCACATACTGATATTCTGCATACTAAAATTTCAATGTACCTTTTTTTATGAAAATACGGTTATACAAGTTCTACTGCTATTTCTCTCAAATTCCTTTCAAAGTGAATCCCCACTGTCTTAAGCTTGTTATTGTGTTGCCAACGGAAATATCTGAGACTAAGTAAAGGTAATAGAATAGGTATAATATTTACTCTGACTCACAGTTCTGGTGACTGGCAAGTCCAAAAGCATCATGAAATGGCAGAAGGTAAGAATTATAGCAGAGTGTGGTCTGTACCTTGTATCATTTCCTCTGCTTATAAATTCTACCAGAATTCAATCATGGAGACCTCACCCTTATGACAGTAGCATCTTCAAAGGCCCCACACTGGGAAACCAAGAAGGGATTAAGTGTTTAGTTAATACCTTTAAGATACAATTAGGTTTCAACACATGAGTTTCTGGAGGACATCTGATTACTGCCTTCTAAAGCTAAATTCTAATATATGAAACTTTGAGGGATAAACCATCATACAAACCATAACACCTGCTTTCTCCATTCACCCTCCATTACAAATACTGTAGTCTAGACTCTCATCATCCTTGTGTTAACTGTCAAAATTGCCTCCTACATGGTTTTGCTGACTATAATCTCTCCTTTTTCTGATCTCTCTGACATATAATCCTCATAAGGTACATTCTTATCTACAAAATAGAGCCCAAACTTCACCTAAAATGAAGGTCTTCCACAATCTTATTTGAATCTACATCTTCAACTGCACTTCACATTACAACTGTCCTCTATATCCCATGCTGTATTCCCTCAAGGTACTACTTTGTAAATCACTTTATTGAAGTATATTAAAATAAAGTGAATTGCATCTGTACTATGCACACTTTGCTACATATGGATGCAGACAAACACCCATAATATCATTACCACAACCAAGGTAATAGACATATTTAACACTTCTAAAAAATTTCCTTTTGCCCCCCCCCTTTTTTGGTAAGAACTCTTAATATAAAACTCCCTTTTTCTTTTTGTTTTTTTTTGAGAGGTTTCTGCTATAGGGCATGTGCGCTCACCAGAGAGACAGAGCGTGACAGAGAGACAGAAAGCAAGAAATCACACCGCCCCCCCCAGGGGTATGGCCACGCCACAATCCCTTCTCCTCCATTCTCCCCTTGAGATCTTGGGCATGCATGCACACGTGCCCAGCATGAGTTTAAGCTGCTGGGTCCAGGACCGCGGTCGACTACATGGAAGTCCAGCGACATAGCCATTGTGCTAACTGCTGGTCCCCTTTCTTAGCAAATTTTAAAGTGCATAACAATACATTATTGTTGACTATAGGCACAATGTTGTATGGCAGATATCTGGAATTTATTTATGCCTCATAAGTGAGACTTTATATCCATCGAAAATAACTCATTGTTTTCTAAATCTTGAACAAATCTGGAACATTTCTATACTCACATTTTTGTTCATTTCTTATAAGCTGAATATTATAAATAGATGGTTAAGCTTATCTTTCTATTTTTTAAGTTAAATTCACCTCTTTTTTTTTTTTTTTTTTTGAGAGGTTTTCGCTATAGGGCGCGTGCGCTCGCCAGACAGACAGAGAGAGACATAGAGACAGAAAGCGAGAAATCACCCCCCAGGGGGGATGGTCACGCCACAATCCCTTCTCCTCCATTCTCCTCTCGGGATCTTGGGCACGCACGCACACGCGCCCGGCGTGAGATTTAAGCCACCGGGTCCGAGACGCGAACCGCGGTCGACTACGTGGGAGTCCAGCGACATAGCCATTACGCTAACTGCTGGTTCCCAAGTTAAATTCACCTCTTAAAGTTCACTCCAAGTGCCGTTTTATTTGAAACCACCCCAATCAATTGTTCTCAACTGATGACATAATTTCTTCCTCTGTTCTCTATGTGCATGCTTGTGTTGTTGAACTTTACATACTCAAATTTGTGCAGATTTTTCTGTCTATAGATATGTTTTAACTCTGCTATTCACAGAGTAAATCAAAATCAAGGGTGATGATATATTTGTTTCTGTATACCCTATAGGCTCCAGCACTGATTATTATTTTTTTTTTTTGGATCATCAACAAGGGCCACATTTTTTTGCCATCCAAAACATATGTATTCATTGTTTATTTATTTATTTTAAAAATTTGTCAGAGTGTGTGTGCAATTGCCAGAGAGAGATAGAGATGGGGGTGGGGGTAGGGAGAATGAAAGCACCACCATAATTTGGCACAGACATACCTTACTCCTTTCTCAGCCTTCTGTCCATCTTGGTGGCATTGTGGGCATGCAAATATGAGTAGCTAGTTTCTTTAAGCCAGAGTTCAGGATTTGAACCATGTAGTTGGCCATGTGGTATCCAGTTCCCTAAACCACTAGAATGCAGGGCTGGCCTGTATGCATTTATTTCTAAAGTTCATTTATTTATTTTTTTCTGTGAGACACACACACACACACACACACACACACATACACACTCCTAACAGGATTCTCATGCTACAATCAACTCCTAGTTTTGGCCACTCTGGATTGTAGGCACACATGCTTGCATGACATGCTTAAGGAGGTCCTAGTACATATACCTAGGACTTTCTCCATGTGGGTTCAGTTGCATTACCACTATGCCCAAATTTATTTATTTATTTATTTCTAACATTGAATGATCAAAACACAGTTCTAAGATAGCTTTTGTAACACCTTTTCTTTTCTTTCTTTCTTTTTTTTTTTTTTTTTTTTGCCAAAAATAGCATATCCCCACTCTCCCTTCTCTTTCTTAGAAGCAACATGCATTTTATGCCAACACCACCCTAAAGACAGGATAGGTTGGCATGGGGAGAGAGAGAATCAGAGACTTTAC